TAGCATAAACCCTGGCCTGCTGTCTACCCCTCTGCTGCTGCTGCTGAGGCTGCCTCTGTGCCTGCTGACGGGGCTGCTGCTGCTGCTGTGGCTGCTGCGGCTGCTGAGCCGGCTGAGGCTGCTGCCCCTTCTTCGGACAACGGTTCGCAAAGTGTCCGGGCTCATGGCAATAGAAGCACACATCCTGACCAAAGCGACACTCGCCTCGGTGATGTCGTCCGCATGTCGGGCACTGTGGAACCTGCTGATGCTTCTTCTTGGCCCTCTTATCTGCCTGGGAACCCTTATCCTTCCTCTTGTTGTTCTTGGCCGGCTGGGTAGATGGCAAGGCTGACATCGGTGGAACTGAAGACGACTGGCCACGACCGGCCTCCCTCCTAAGGCTGGCATCCACCTCCTGAGCAATGGAGACTGCACGAGCATACGTCTGGGTCCCGTGGCCTACGATGTTATGACGGACTGCTGGGTAAAGTCCGTCAATGAAACGCTGCGCTCGCTGGGCCTCTGTGCGAACCAGATCAGGGACAAAAGCTGCAAGCCTCGTGAACTCTCTCTCGTACTCGTCGACAGTACGAGTACCCTGCCGGAGCGATAGAAACTGGCGCTCCATCTCTGCTCGGTAGTATGTGGGGTAGTACTTCTCACGGATCAAGTCCTTGAGCATCTCCCACGTACATCCCGCCTTCTCACCAGGACGCATGTCCCAGTAAGCGTTCCACCAGAGCCTAGCATCTCCGGTGAGCTGAAGCTGAGCGCAAATGACGCGATATCTCTCAGGGCACTCCATGACCTCGAAGATAAACTCCAGGCCCTGAATCCACTCGTCAACTATGCGAGGGTCTCCCTGTAATATCCCATTCAGTAATTAATAAAAGTAATTATTCTAAGTTTGAACTAATTACTTTTATTAATTATGCTCGTTCTAGTTTCGAGCCCAGTTATTAAGTTATTTAGCTAAAAGTTCGACTTTAAGTTGAAAGTATTATCGGTTAAATTTTTATTTAGTAATCGAGCCAATTCAGTAATTAATTATTTCAGGCCTGTTTATTTTTATAAATAGATTTATAAGATGGGATTAATTATAATAAGATGGCAAATAATAAAAATCGAGTATATTTTGATTACTCGTTCAATATAAGTTGTGAACCGAACCAAGCATGTTCGGTTACGAGTTAAGATTATTACCGAACAAATGATACTCGAGCCTAGCTTAGTTTTGAGTATTGATCAATTTATAAGGATAAATTACACATTAACGTTTATTGAAGTGAAATAAGTTATTTAAGATGAAGTTCAAGTTCAAGTAACATTCCATTTTATTTAGCTAAATGGATGTAAATTTGGCCATTTATAGTTTGAATGAGAAAGAAAAAGAATAATGAGTCGAGACAAGTTAGGTTTCGTGTTTGGTATTTGTAACATCCCACTTTGATTTTACAGAAATTTCGAATTTTCCAAAAACCAGTATAAAATTTTCAAAATCATTTTCGAAAACTTAGTGGGTGTTAACTAACATTTTTCATATCCCAATTCTTATCTGGGCCTACGGGGATTCATTACCCGGTTTTCACAATCGGTTTCCATTAACCAACATAAACACATGAAATAAATAACCAAACATCAATCCCAAAACGACAAAGGTTCATAAGCTTCAAAACCAACACACAAGGTTCGAAAATAGTTTGCACAAAAACATGACGTGCAACAGAATTATTCAAGTTCAGCGGAAGTAATTCAAATGCATAAGTAATTAGACCGACCCAACTCGTCCCTTCCTCGTCACCCGGCTGTTGCTTAACCTGCATCGGTGAAGAGTAGGTGGGGATGAGCACAAGATGATAAACGTGCTCACCACTATGCACATATATAATAATAACAGTTGGTATGGTTAGAGTATGAACATAAAGCAATCATTTGTCACGTCTCCAAATCACATCACATCATAACATATTACCCACGTGTACACATCTCTCATTAGCCAAGGATAGGGGATTCATTACCCTAACTCATGGGGGTACGTGCCACTGTAACGGACACGGCCTTTCATTAGGTCTTGCGGAGACTTGCCTCGCAAGGGCAACCGTACCGTAACTCGACGAGGACAACCGCATCGACGGCCGACATCGGCTCACGCCGATAGGCTACATGATTTACATACATACTAAAATCATACCATCTCAACAAGAAACACACATATAAGTCATAGCAAGTTTTGAATAAGTAAATCCACCTGGATAGCTCGGTAGAAAATAGCACACAATCACAAGTACGTAGGATGAGGGCTCGACTCCTCAAACACCTACATTTAAGCGAGATAATATATCAATAATCTATCTCACTACTAGAATTTAACATAAAACTCATACTTAATAAAAATTAAGTCTTAAGGGTTTTAATCGGATTTTTCGTGGACTTGGAACTCTCTCATTTTTGAAAAATAAGGCTCGGAGGATAAAATTTGGAGTCTCGGGACTTAAAATAATTTTTCTAAATTTTTATCATTGAAAATAATTTTTAAAATTGAAATCGGTACGAAAAATAACTTCCGGAACTCAAAATTTGGCTAAAAACCGAACTGGGCCGAAGCTGCCAGGTGACTGCACTAATGGGCCGCCATTGGGGTGAGATAGGCCCAAAAATCGCGGCCTGTTAAGGGGAAGATGGGCGCAGGCTTACTGGGCCAGAATACGGGCTCACGGGCTCACAGGCGGGCCAGGAGTACAGAGGAGATTCGGGCCGCGCGCGGGCTGGTACCGGGCCTATAATGGCCCGCGCGCTATGACTAATAAACTGGGAGAAAAAAAAATAAAAACATGAACTGCTAGCAGAGGGGTTAGAACCTAGGACTTCACGCGGGGAAGAGTGCGCCTAAGACCACTGCGCTACCCGCCTGGTTGTGACATGTACTGAAACCGAAGTATTATAAAGACAAGCCTGGGACTTGAACAGAATTCTGGGAACAGGACCAGAAAATTATTTGTAGAGAAGCTGCAACAACAAAACGGCAACTATACGGCTGGAAAAACAAT